GGACATTGTGTAGGAATTTATACAGTGGTGAAAATGTATTTTGCATTCAAATGAATTGTGCTCTCCAGCGCCTCACTTTTTCAAATGCACTTTGCATCTACGGTAGCCATTATGTACCAAAAAGCTATGAAATAATGTCTTCTAAAAGCACTTCGTCGAGTGTTCCTTCGGGTGAACAGGTTTGTTATTTCAAACACACAGCAACTTGACACAACGAACAAACGAATGTTACAGCATGAATTACTGACTGTGAAAAACATGAACTATTGTATTAAGTAGTTATGCCTTCTTTATTCATTATATTTTCTGAAGTACTGTTAGATATCATCATCAACTTTTAACTATAAATGTTAATCTGTCTATAAAATAAAGTACACAACAAAACAATGAAAAAAGCTTGTAATTAAGATTGTAAATTGACTTACCTGTCGAGAAGAAAGCAGGACTTCAGCATCTCTTTTCAAATCTTTCTCCTGCGTTAGCTCTATCCATCTGGAAAAAAAAAAGCTATCCATAAAGCTATCCTGACATTAACTTGTGTTTTTGTTATCTCCAGTCATGTTTTCCTTTTACGATCTATTTTGGATTTTCTGGAGACGAGGATTTGCAATGCATCCTTTTAAACTTGGCGGGCATTGACAAGCGCCTGTCACTGCTCTGCTCCTCCTCTTCTGCTGCTTTCAGTTACGTCACTGAAATGGACCTACCGTCCCATGTTTATAAAGATAAAATATTTGTTTACGAGGTTAAATCAAATAATTGGCAGAGATGTATTTGTACACCATTGAGGACACATTTATGAAAAAAAAAAACTATTTCATATAATAAAATACATAAAAAGTACACATTGTCCCTTTAATTATATAAATGTTGAGGCAAACTTGTTTTGCACCAAAATAACAACTATTGCCGCTATGCATATGTACTAAATGATTTATAAACATTTGCAAACTCAAATTCAGATATACTTACATTTATATGTCATTAAATCATGTTTTATTTGGATTTCTCTGTGCATGCTCTTTGAGTTGGTGACCATAGACCTGCATTATGACTGACGGACAAGAACGGTTTGACCTAAAAATATCAAAATTGAAACTACTGCGGAAACAAAGACACCTACAACTTGGATGCCCTTGAGGTAAGCTAAAACATACCAAAAAAATTATTTCAATGTGTACTATCCCTTTAATGAAGTTAATATAAAGTGTTACAGAGCTGTTTTAACTTAAAGCAACTTGCACTGGCAAATCTTAAAACATGTCAGTTCCATTGTTTTGTCTCAAGATGTACAACATACTGTTTTTTTTCAAAGGCATGTTTATAAAAGCTGTGCAAATGTTCGAATTGAACCAAGGCATAATCCAGGCTTAATCTAAGCCCTGCTGTGAAACCAGGCCTTGGTATTCTAATCTAGGCTGGTTTTAGTTATTATGGGTCATCACTGAAAGTGCATAGGCACATCTTGAAATCATTGGTGTTCTTCTTCTTCGTCTTCTTCTTCGTCTTCCTCTTCTTCTTCCGTATGGAAGTGAAGCCTTTGGCGGCCCATAGAGCTGCTTGCGGGAAAGTGGAGGACAGTCTGGACAGTCACCATAGCAAGTTTGGAGTCTCTAACTCAATCCCTCTAGCACCACCAACTGTCCAAAGTTTCACTCATGTTTATGCTAATAACTTTTGAACCATAAGGGCTCTTCCTTGGGTCAATATGATTCGATTGCGTCATATGACATTATTTTCCGTCTTTTAAATCTTTCCCCATTTAGATTTTTTTTTTAAAAAACTACTTTTTTAACTTTTCGTAAAATCTTTTTCCTAGACGATTGCTCCGATTTTTACAAAAATTGAACCAGATCATCTTCAGATTATGCTGACACAGTTGTGGAATTCAAGTTTATTCTTCAAACCGTTCTCGAATACCACGCAAATAAATTTTACATAGCGCTTGGAAAAACAGACGTAAGGCTGTCTCTTCGCAACGCTTTATTGCGTTCAGACCAAACTTAGTACATCATCACAAGCATAACTTGAGGCAACATGCTGCGTTACAGAGCACCGCCATTTACTGGTCCAGAGATATACGAAAAATTGATATTTTTGCGTATAACTTTTGAACAGATTGTCCAAAAATCTTAAAAGTGGTCTTGTTAGATTAGAGGGGTAATGCAGAGTCAAATGATTTCCCATTGTCCCATATTGACCATTTGGGGCGTCGGCCATTTTGAATTTTGTACTAAAATGCTGTATTTTATGAATGCATCAACCTAGCTTTACAAAACTTGGTATAGGTCATCGGTACAATGCCCTGAAAGAGTCTCAGAAGTTATCGAAGTTACGCTACGATGTAGTTACACTGACGCGCTGCTCAAGTGCCGCTCACGCTAGTGGTGTGACTTCCAAGGGGGTAATCCACCAGCCGGAAACTGAAGTCTCCCCGGGGGCCGCCATTGGCTAACAAGCCTTCACCTGCTGTTAGCATTCCATGGACTCCTATTTATTTTGGTGTCACTTTGACAACGAGTAACTTTATATCTGAGGCGTTCAAATTCTCAATTTGTCCATTGTTTATTTCTAAAGAAACAAGACAGTGTATAAAAGGCTCCATTACCTTGTATCTTACGTTATGGCCCCGTAGAAGCAGTTTTTCTAAAAATAAGCTAATGATTGCGTCAAAACACGTGACTCTCTGTCGCACAGTACAGAAATTACTGTATAGACAGAACTAGAAGCTTGCAATTAATCAGGGGGGCATGGAAGGATAAAGTCAAGGGTGAAGACCATAGAGAGTCATGAAGTTGCTCCTGCTGCTAGCTCATGGACAGCTAATACTCACAATCTCCAGCTCCGCAAGATTCCTAAAGGAATGATTCAGATTCCGCTTGGCACAGCTACTAGAAGACATATAACTACGAGACAGGTTGCTCACGTCACGTCTACGTCGTCAAGCTCAGTTTGAGCCTGCGCAGTGCGCTTGGCAATCAGGAAGTGAGTGCTTCTAATTGACTTCACTTTTCTCCGTTGGGGTCACTGTGTCCATTTCTTTTACTGTCAATGGTGACTTCACGTCTGCTGCCATGTTGGATCCATAGGTATGAACCATCTGCTTTGGTGTGTCGCATAGATGTCGTCATCATCTTGCTGCTCTCTCCCGGTTCTGTGTTTGCTTCCCTAAATGAGGTGAAAATCTGGATCATGGAATCCAGACTGCCTAGCAGCAAGAATAAAATTGTGCTGTGGCAAGGAAGCATGTGGGAAACCCAGGATAGACATGGTCTCTATCTGAGAAGGAACTCAATAAATAAAACACATGGCACTCAAAATTCTTCATTTTGAGTTATTCTCACTTAAACTATGGAACATCGGCATCTTGGGAAATTCATGTCTTCCCAGGAGCGCAACGAATTCAGTGACAGGCATCTTATCCAAAGATAGTGGGATCTTTCTTTATCTTGGATTAGACATAAGTATGTTTTGTTCATTCTGTGTTCATTCATTTTGAGTTCATTTTCACATGTACTTCTGAACCAGCTGTTTTTTCATGTATGTTCAATTTCTGCTGATTTTGCTCTTCCTGCTCTGCACTGCTGTTGCTTCAGGGGCTTGGCCCCGTATTGCTGCTTACAGCAATATTCTCAATTATTAAAATTGCATCGTATGAAAGTCAATGGCATGTTATGTCAATGATGTCAAAGGCATTAATTTGCTGTTTTTAAATCTGAGTGCATGTGAAGAACAAAACAAAGTTTTGGCAGTCTTTTGGATCTTGACATTTGGGAAATATAAAATATGTCTATATATTTATAAGGTTACTTTTAAATAATTAGGGGGCAATTATCGAAGACGCAGTGTGCATTCATGTGAAGGCTGCAATATATTTGGAAATGAGACTAGAACGTTCATTGAGGCATCGTCTAATATTTTATCAACAGCAATAAATGTAAATATTTGCTCATTTAGTTGTTCTAGCATACATTGGAAGTCAAGAAAAAGGGCCATATTGCACCATAAGAAATCAGCGAAATACAAACATTTGCAGAAATGCACTAAAGTAGCTGAAAGTGTTTTGTATCACACACGTACACGCACACAATAAACTTTTCAAGTCTGGAGCAATGTGCTATCATAACTTTGTGCACTGAATTCATAGCGGAACAAGTTTGTCCATTGCATCGTGTGTCGCTGTCCATGGTTCTGAAAAAAAAAACCTGCCAGTTGCACAACGTTCGTCAAATTAATTAATCATATATATTGGATTATTATTGTTGTATGTTTCTCTGTGGATTGTTGCCTTGCTTTGGTTTCATCTCTGCCATTACTTAACAAAATCCTTTTTTACAGCTATAGAGGCCATAGTCTAGAGTTTTTGTTTTAAGATGTCTATTTGATTTATGTTATGTGCATTGTGCACATTATACTTTTGCAGATAATTTCATTTCGGACATCCATCAGTCAGGCAAAACTGTCGAATTGATTGTATTTAAGTGGTCCACGGGAGCGATTCTAAAAATAGCCTGCATGACGAGAGTGTGCATCTATTACCGTACTACTGCCACTCCTAAAAATACAGAGATGCGCGAACGTCCTTTTGAAGGTGCGTGGTCGAGCAAAAACACGGCACACCGATATGAAAAAAGAAACGGGAATGTAACTTTCATACAAATACCATTTTGCCAATTTTACAAACGAGTAGCCTAGGCTAAGCGTTGGAGAGAGAGAGAGAGCGAGAGCGAGAGAGAGAGAGAGAGAGAGAGAGAGAGAGAGAGAGAGAGAGAGAGAGAGAGAGAGAGAGAGAGAGAGAGGGACTCCGCCTTTGCCATCGCCCAATACCGAGCCCCCGGTTCAGTGAAGGGGGAAATCACAGAACTGCTATCTAATGCCGGAGTCCCTCTGTTTGCGTCGTCTCCAGGCGTAGAGATGATGGGCTTCCCGTAACTGGAGGTGGAGGAGTGGCGGGGGTGGGGGTAGCGAGAAAAGAGGAGGGGTGGGTTAAAAGAAAAAACACAGTTGTGGTTGCCTGAAACTATGCAAGATTTGCACTGTTCTCAAAGAACACTGCTCTATCCGTGGACCATGTCGTGAGGTGTGGCTCCAGCGCTCGGGATACTGCCAATAGATAGCCTACGCCTGGGAGCAGGGCAAAATATGTCCGCCTCGGTAGGGCCCACAAGCGGCCCTCGCCCACCCACCGTGCCGGCTCCCATGCCTGATATGCCGGACTTGAGTCACCTCACTGAGGAGGAAAGGGAAGTCATCATGGCAGTGATGGTTCGGCAAAGGGAAGAAGAGGAGAAGGAACAAGCCATGCTAAAGTAAGTGCTGGACGATTTCCTTTGTGTATCCATCCACAGACGTTTTCGACACTTTCAGTGTTCATATCAGGCTTAGCTTCATGACCGTTCACCTGTCATCCCCGTAAACGTGTGATTGTGATTCCCGATTTCGCAGCTTAAAAAAGCGTTAGGTCTAAGTTTCCTGGATAAAAGCGTCTGGTTGCAATGGCCTCTGTATAGAAAGCGGGAGGTAATGCAACAGATGAACTTGGGATAGATTGATTTTAACCGTCGTTGCAGTGTGTGAGTAGAAATAAGCTAGATTTAAGGTCAGGCGAGTTACAGGTGCACCATGGCATTCGGGGAGACGGGGCGTGACAGAGAGCGAGGATGAATCATACTTCGCAACTGCGAGCCACCCCACTCCACCCGATGCACCTCCGGGGGCAACACAAGGTGCTCTTCACCCTCGCCCAAACACTATTTTATATGGTAGGATAACACTCAGCGAATGTTATCTTGGAGAAAGGCTATTGAATGAGGCTTGCGCGCTGGTCTGTAAAGACGGAAAGAAAAAGCACGTCTAATGTGATAGCCTACACGTTAAACGGCAGCAAGCTAAAACGTCTGTTTTGTGTGTATTGGCAATATACTCAAAGATATCCACTAGAAATAAAGCCTTTCGCAGCTTTACAACCGGGGTGTGGTTCGTGATTGGCTCGCGATTATTTCGCCGCTGGCTCAGTCGATGCATGTGAGGACGACTTGACTAAACTAGATATAGTAGATTACTGGAAGTGGCGACTGTAGCGATTATCGTGTGCTTCGAGATCTAAAATACAATTTCTTCTCATGTGACAATCATCTTCCTCTCCTCGGAATGAATGATTTGGAGAAGAAGCTGACGTAGAGCCTTAAGTATGCTCTGACTGACTGAGTTGCGTTTCGCGTATTCCCTTAGTTAGGCTACTCTTCAGACGGAAATGACGTGATAGAAAATTGAGGCGAGGTTATGTAATTTTTCCTATGACGACTAATCTGCAACGGAAATGGTAATCTATAGCTTTGACCATGCGATGCTTGAGTCATAGGCGCCACAACATCACGACTCTACAGCCACATCTGGAAATGTGTGGCAGTTGTGGTGGGCTGTGCTGAGAGAAGAAGCATAGGCTATTTCAAAATCACCGTTTGTCTCATTATCTGTTTACAACTGCACAGCAATGACCTCGTGTTTGGATACTGTATGTCACTCTCAGTGGTGTAGGAAAGGCAGACAGATAAAGAAAATGGAGAGGCGTACAGATTTACCATAATCTTAATCTTACATGCTTAATGAATCATGTGTGCTTTTTGAAAATGGGTTTCCCTACGTTGTAAGTATTTTTCCATGATATAAGCAACTGCATTATCAACAACCAACGATAGTATGTGGAAATCAGATTAAAAATTTATTAAATATAGAAGTATATTAAATGGAAAGTGCACTAAGGTGTGTTATGAAACCATTTCCCTGCCTTAGGCCTAATTATTAAGGACAAATATAAACAAATATCAAATAGTCTGTTCATATAGATAAGTCACCCTTAGAGACTATATTTTATGACATATTATGCATAGAATTCACTCTGCAATCGAAAATGCCTACTTTTTTACTACTGTATGTAGTATGCAGAAAGCATGATGCCAAAAGAGTACATGTCAGATTATTCAAAAAACATTTGGCAAAAAGTACCTGAATGGCTTATACCACTGAGATAGGCTAGATAGCAGATGTGCATTTGAGTGACACTTTACCATGATGCCAACGGAGAGAAGTGGCAAATTCCAGTAAAGGGACACCACTGGACAGACAAAGCCAACATGTCAGATTAACTTTTTAACATTTTTCAAATATAGTTCCTACTCAGACAGTTGTCAATTTCAGACACGCTTATAGATGACACAGAGCACACATATTTTCTCACTTAGGCTTAATTCTTACCACTTAAACACATTGTGCCCATTCTGCCCTACAAAGCAAAAAGGCAGTAACTAACTACACAGAGTGCAGAACTGAGAAAAATGACTTTAACTAGGGCTTTTTGCAGTTACTGTACAAACGACTACTATTATTTCTTCAAAACAACACGCATTTGAAATAAGATGTTTTGTCACATAACAAAGGATGCCTTGAATGTGATGAAAATCATAATAACTAATGTTTGACCAAAAATGCAGTTACTGCTTTGTATAGGGCAGCATTGATATTTAGAGAAATGTGCCTGTGGTAGCAAATAAGGGACCATTCTGTAGTCTTTGTGTTATTTTTCCTTCTATTAAATTGGTTAGGTTAACTTGTATGTGCTAGATGAAAGTTAGTATCAGTGGTTTGGCTTATGTTTGTTGTAATCAGTACCAGTAGGCCATTTGATGAAATGCTTGTCTGAGATATTATATTGGTATCTATTTTGACTGTGTTTTATCTCAGTTTTAGCTGAGATCAGGCCAGCTGGGACAGATAAAAAACCCTGTAATCAAGCTGTTCATATACGGTTTCAGGCAGCCTTGAGAACAGGTCAGAGCTAATCATTGAGAAGTGTGTGTGATTGCAGCACCTGGGGCTCGTTCTTCGTACGTTGCTTAAAACATCCGAGATCAAATGAGAGATCTAAGATGATATCATCGTGCTAATCATGATCCGGCTAATTGGGTTCTTCGAACACACCTGTTGTTTATGATTAGTATCGCTGGATTGAGTTATCTGAGATAACTGCGCGTTCTCGCGTTGGTTTAAAAGGGTACATGTATCGATAGCAGAACCAGTGATCAGCAGCGCTGCTATTGGCTGTTCAGCATGGCCAAAGAACACGCCCAGTTTTTCTCCCAAGCAGAGCAAGCGCTTTTAATGCAAGGTTATGCCGAATTTCAGTCTTTAATTAAAACGCCAGGGAACACCTCAAAGTGTGCAAAAGCCAGGAGAGAGTGCTGGCAAAACTAGAAGACAAATTAAATGCGTTTGTGGTGACCATGTTAGATGTTTTAATAACTTATTATTATTTTATTTTTATTTTCATAATTTCATAATTACTTTGTTCATTGTAATGTCGAGTCACCGCACTATAATAATGGACATGGTCAAAGTGAAGTACAAAAATATTCTACTTAATGGTAATTTTAGGCCTTATAGGCCTACTAGTCTCTTTTAAAAAGTTACTGTTAAATAAATGATTGTCTGTTTATAAAAGCAACCAGAAAAAAGGCTGAGAAAAAAATAATAATGATGCTCCTGACCCTGGCAGAAGAGCTGACCCTTGGGTTGAATGTGAATTGCCCTGTTGTGAAGGGCATCCCTGGGTTCAGCTCTTCCAGACACACATCATGGACCAGCAGCAGCAACACCTTCATCACTGGGAAATGAGATTTAAATTATCTTTGTACACTATGAAATAATTTGTTGCTGCATTAAATGAAGTAGACCTATTATCCAAATTGGCTGGTTTAGTCATTTCAGCTGTTAAATCTTGAGTAATGATAAATTGCTTTGTCTTTTGAAAGTAAAAACTGATAAACTTATGTTAATGTAAAAATATTTTGCCATGAGTTATCAATCACATTGCACTGGAGAGTGAAGAAAACTTCTCAGATGACTGTCCTTTGGAGGAAGAACTTTAATTTAATTGATGGCTTTAATTGATTTCTACTTGTGCCTATGCCTGTTATTTCTGAGAGGAGTCCACATGTACAGAAAGGCCTACAGAAGAGTCTGCACACAGCAGTGATACAGGGGTGGGCAGTGTAGAGACAACTTTTGCTTTTTATTTGTTACATGAGGCATGTGTGACACAAACGACACAGGGTTAAATTCGTCCCCTATATGAGTCTTCAACAGAAAATAGAGTATTTTGAAAAAACAAAAATCAGGGGGAGAAACAGAACTTGACTAAGAAAAAATTGCACTAGAAATAGAATTGCTTCAAAATAAACTTCAGAGTAAAATCACACAGAGTACTATTGCTGACCTTGCATAATATCTTTTAAAAAGATGACTGAATAACTGGCTTTTCTTTACAAAGAACAATTGAAATAAAACTCTAAGCAAATAGAGTTTTGCAAATTTGTCTTGTCTTTTATTTTAGGCTTAATGAAACTTTTTTTTTTTTTTGATGTTGGCAGTGTTGTGTAATATGGCACATGCAATGTCACAGGCCCTGTCAGGTGCAACCCTCAGGCTTTTTAGACCCTGAAATCTTCCCTTTAGTTGGCCAAAGCTCATGTCATTGTGGCAAAAAAAAAAAAAAAAAAAAAACTAAGAGCACTACTTTGTGAATGGCACGACAGAAAGCTTATCAAGTTCTCCGCATCTCCAGTAGTGTAAAGGAAACCACTCGCAAATAATTTTAGGGCAATGCAAACATTTTGTACTGTTGTTGAAGCCCGACATCGAATCAAACATTAATGTGCATTTCCAACAAAATAATAATGTATTTAAACGACACCCTCACGACGATCGTTTCACGAGAAAACAAAAATAAATCTCAGAAATTAGGCTACACACTATCGCGCTGCGCTGAAGGACTTCCCGTATCAGCCGCGATCTAATCCTGTTTACATGAAATAAGCCTGCTCGCGAGCAGGTTCAAGCTGACGGACCAGTTGCTATGACAGCAAGTCCAGGATGAGCGTCGAAGAACCAAACGATCCAAGATCATGCCAAATCGCCAACAATCAAATCCAGCTAACTGAGTTAGCGACGTACGAAGAACGAGCCCCTGGTCAGGTTACTGCATATTTGCTGTCATATACAAGAGCACACACAGATGCTAATGTGTGCTCACATTACATATGTATAATCATGCAAAGTTAAGATAAAAAACAAAAGCTTAATCACAAGTTTTTAAGCACAACTTAAATGAAAAAAAAACAAAACAAACTTGAATGCCATGTCACTCTGCAGTTTCCAGCTAAAATGAAGATGTGGACAGTAACAAAGTACATTTACTTGAGTTTAAGGTATAGTCATATATGCTAGCATGTCAGATGTAGCATTACTGATACTG